GATTAAGAGCATTGGCTGCTCTTGCACAGGACCTGGGTTCAAATCCCAGCACCCACAAGGTGGCTAACAACCGTCTGAAACTCTAGTTCCAGGAGAATCTGACACCCTCTTCTGACTTCCACAGGTATTGCACGCACGGGTGCACTTACATGCAGGCAATACACTCATACACATAAATTTTTTTTAAGAAAAGAAAAGAAAAAGACAGGCATGTGCCTGTAGTCCCAGCACTTGAGAGGTGGCGGCAGGAGAATGGAGAATGAGGAGCTCAAGGCCAGCCTAGCTACATGAGACGCCGTCTCACAAACAAACAAGTAAACAGTTCCTGTAACCATTCCACAAAGAAGCACAGCCCTCAGAGCCATGAGAACCTACATTCCCGGCACTGATCATCACGTTTGGCTCAGAACAAACTGCTTCTTACTCCTTTTGGAGTGAGAGCTGTGCTTAGCATCCTCAATGTATACTCCCGCCTTTGGAGAACTGACAGGGTAAAAAATGGCGTTCTAAAGGTTCATACTGGCCATACCACAAAGCAGAGATGTACGAAAGAAGGCTAAGCCTTCCCTGGGGGGTGAAGGGGGCACCCTGTGTGAAGTAGAGGAATGTGCAAGTCCTGGGAGTGGGAAGCTGTGGAGGGGCCCTGGCTCACCCAGGTGACAGGTGCAAGGTGGGGCTGGCGAGTGGGCAGGGGAGGGTGTCTGGCGCCTCAAGCCACACCTGTTGACTGGGACAAACAGATCCTGTGTCTGCCAGCCCCCCCAACAAGCCCCTGAGGACCTGGGGGGGAGGAGGAGCCAGCGTGTAAACTGTATTTTTAGTTCCCTGTGCGTCTCCTGGCCTCTGTAAGGCACTTCTCTTCACTCCCAGCCCTGGTCGCTGGCTCAGGCTCCAAGGACAACTGGGGAGAAGGTTGGCGTGGTCAGTATGACAGTGGCTGGGAAGGACAGCCATGACTGGTGGGCTCATGGGGGGTCTGGAGCAAGCTTGGGGGTCCTCCACCCCACTAGGTCTTCTCAGGTCATGCACATGCTAAGCCTGGCCTTGTGCATGTGTTCTGGCCCAGTGGCAGCCTGTGGGAGGACTTGGCCAGGAGTTTGTCTATCTGAGCTGGGGGTGGGGGACAGCACAAGCCCTGCCCAAGTCAGACCCCACAGGATGGTTCTTAGAAGGATGGAGGGAGGGGGCCGAGACAGAGGGAACCCAGGCTTCAGGAGCGCTCACTGTCCCTCTGTCCTCAGTCTCAAGAGATACTGAAGGAATCATCTCCGAACCTTATGAGAGAATCTTATTGGCTACCCACAGCCGCACAAGTTCCCAGGCCACTAGATGACTCTGGCGCCTTGAGTGCCAGGTGCACGGCTGCTTGGGGCGTGTAAGTGCCCCCTGGGTGCTAGCAGTCCCTGACTACCCTCTGTGTAAATGTGAGCAGAGGCTGAAAACAAGCCCATAGCCCTCTCCCAGGTACCGAGCTTCCGGTTGGCCTTGCCTGATGTGGCACTCAGAGTGCTGGGAATGTTTAGTTTGGACAAGAAAAATCAGGTGGGCTTGTAGCCCTCCCACCCTGTGTGAGATTCAGCAGGCCCTCTGCACCCTGCAAAGAAGCAGGGCCCAAGCAAGAGTGAGTGGCCTGAAGGTGTCTTTGGGCTCAATATAAAGAAGGATTTTTATAGCCCTAAGTAGTGAGCTCACTGACCCAAGGAACATTTGAGCAGATGTCAGAGAGTAGCCTCTCTGAATAAGAACATTTAGTGGGAAATTGGATGAGACATTCTCAAGGCCTCTTTAACTTCAAGACACCACAGCCCTGTGATTCTAGGCGTCTCCGTCTCTACCTCTCTATGACCTGGGAATCTAGAATCTAAGTTTGTAGAGTGGTAAAAGCAGAAGACGTTAGCAATTTAGAACTTCCATCCAGAGATCCTGAGATTCCAAAATGTGAAGACTTGATGCTGATTTCACAAATCTCAGACTTGGAGATGCAAAGCATTTTGGGATAGGAGGAATGTTGGGTCTGACTAGGGAATTTAGCTTTTCCCATAGTTGTCCCCCTAACCTGCGTAGACAGGAGGCTGCAGAGAATTTTGCCTGCCAAGGCAGCCTGGTTTACCCACAGTGGGTCTGCAGCTTCCCAGCCTGGCCATGGTGCAGCTGTCAAGGGGAGAGAGTAACAGCCACCAAACACAGGGGCCGGCTCCTAGTCGCCATAGCAACCTGGAGGCAGGCTCTGTTGTGGCAATGTGTAAGTATACACAGAATCTGGTGCCTTCGAGCTTAAATGGAAAAACTTAAAAGGTTCATCCACTTGGAAGCCACAGGTTTCCCCAAGCAGGCTGACTCATGGGACATCTGCCAAGAGGGTGATAGCTTCGTATTAAACACAAGTCGGCTTTGCTCAGGGGTTGATAAGGGTCTAAATACTCAGGCTGTCCCCAGATAGGTCTGAGAGGCTGGAGACAGAGCAGAGCTGGGTACTCTGATCTGGAGGAGCCCTGCCTGGCCCACCCCTCAGGGTTATTCTATAGGCTGTGTGCCAAGAATGTAAATCAGGACCTCAAGTGGAAGATTCTGGTGGACACTTCAAGGAGGTCACCCAGTGCACTCCCCAGCATGATAGCCAGGTGGCCTGGGCAACCTGGGGCAGCTGGCTGGGACATCTTTCTTTCTGTTCTACACTCCGACCCCCTGAACTCATCCTAGTAGTGACCAGAGCAGGACAGGGCAGAAGCTGTGGAGGATCTCTGACCCTCTCCCATGTGGACTCCCTGCTGGACAAAGACCAGCTGCCGCCCCCCTCCCCCAAACACCGTGGAATGAATAAACAGAGACAGGTGAATGCGTGCATAGATGTGTACCTTGTAGCCTGTGTGTCCTAGCTACCCGCTTTGCTGGCTGAGCCTGCGGCCTCAGACAGGCACCAGTCGCAGGCAGGAGTTCCTCTCCCTTTTCACTCACCCACAACCACCTAGTGCTTCAGAAGGACACACAGGGAGTGGGACTCACAGAAATCTTTGCACAGGAATTGACTACCCTCCAGGGCCCCGAGTGAAGGTATGGGGGCCAGGTGGCACAGGGCCTTCTGTTTTGATGTTCTTCCCCAGGGTTGGCCATGAGTTTCATACTTTTCCTGTTCCGTTTCCCACTGCCTCTCGACACATCCCTGTTCTTGGTTTGAAGAGAGGATCTGACTGGCAGAGCTAATTGCGATGGCTGTTCAGCCTGCCCCAGTTAGGTACCACCCCTGGCCCAATCAGCAGGTTTTAGGAGATCCATTGTGGGCCCCAGGATGTGGCTGCCCATTCCTAATCCCAGCAGGGCCCAACAAAGCAGTGTCTCTAAAGAGCCACGTGGGTGGGGTAGTCATGGCTGAAACCCAGAGCAGACCCAGCATAGCCGGGCATGTGCCCATCCTTCCTGAGCCATAAATTGGATGCTGCTCCTTTCCTCACTTGATGATTGGGTAGGATCTTGCCAGGAAAGCTTTAAAAACCGGAAAGCCATGGGCAGGTGGAAGTGTCACAACACTGATTCTGTGGTTTTGGTCTCTTACTTCCCTTCCTGAAGGTGCTGTGGGTTTCTGGGACACATGGATGTGCTTAGTTTTGTTATTTCAGCATGTGACAGAGTAACTGGCATACAGTGGGTACTCTGTGACTATCAGATAGATGGTAGGTGAGTGATGGGTGGGTAGACAGAGGCATGAGGGAATGAGAGCTGATGAGTAGATGGATGATGGATAATTGATGAGGGAAACATGAATGATGGATTGATGGATAATGAGTGAATGGATGGATAGATAATGGCTAGGTGGATAATGGATAAGTGATGGGCAGATGGAAGGATAATAGATGGATTGATACAGATGACAGATGCATAGATGGATGATGGATTGATAGATGAGTAATGAATGATGCATGAACCATGAATGGATGGGTGGATAATGGATAGATAACGGATAGATAAAGGATGGATAGATAGGCAGATGAAGGGATGAGTGGATGGAAACAGTCCAGTCTCTACCTGTCCTCCTTGCAAATCCATCTTTTTATTCAACAAACATTCAGCTCAAATTTGGTACAGGGTCTTGTGTGGGGTTCAAGAGATACACAGACGAATAGAGTTTTGTACCCATAAAATTGTAAATGTTTTATTTGTTTATATATTTCTTTTGTATGTGTGTGAGAGAAAGAGAGAGAAAAAGGAAGAGAGAGAGAGAAAGAGAGAACTCCTGTCGTACTACTTCCCTCGCTGCCTCACATGCCACCTCCAGCAGGGCACTAGCCACTAACCCTCCAGGACTGCCAGTGGCTAGCTCATGCCCTCCCCTGGGAGCCCTCAGGGCAAACACCTAAATCTCATACTGTCCCTGTGGTGGGTAGCACAGCTGTTATTTGATCCCAGCAGGTCTGACCCCCCCCCCCCGCCCCAGTTCATACTTCTGAAAACCTTATCTGGGAGCTGGTGAAACTGCTCAGAGGCCCTTGTTTCCAAGCCTGAGTTCAATCCCGGGGACCACATGGTAGAAGGAGAGAACCAACTCTCCCAGGTTGTCCTCTGACCTCCCAAGTAATGCCTGCCGCTGTGGCACTTGTGTCCCATACATACCCATACACTCGAATAAACAAATGTAATAAGAATTTTTTTTTTCCAAAAGGAAAGCAGGAAGAAAGTGAGTGAGGAGACTGCTGGGAGCCAGGACTGTCCCTAGGGCCAACAGGACGCCTGTGTCCAAGTTTAGAAACATGACGAGTCCCCTTGGGCCAGCGACGAGGGAGAGTTGGGTTGCAGCTGCTGGCAGCGGCCTCGGTGCCCTTTCTGTTGGCTTGTGCAAGCCAGGACAGTGGCCTGGCTGGCTCCCCCTCCCCCACCCCTATGGCCCAAGCTGTCCTAGCTCCTACAATGGCACCTGTCCCAAAATAGCTGCCCATGTGAGGGCAGAGAAAGGCAGAGATTAGACCCCTGGGGGTGGGGAGGTGAGGAGGGCAGTAGAGGGAGCATGTAGCACCAAGAGATACTGGCCAGACCAGCATCCAGGAAGGTATAAAAGCCCATTGGGGCCAGGTGGCCTCAAACCTCAGCTGACTGCCGGCCCACGCTCGATCTCTTTGTCCTCCTCAGAAGCTACCATGGGACTCAGCGACGGGGAATGGCAGCTGGTGCTGAAGGTCTGGGGGAAGGTGGAATCCGACCTTGCTGGCCATGGGCAGGAAGTCCTTATCAAGTAAGAGGAAGAGACCCCCATCCCTCCACCCATCTCCTTAAGATCACCAGTGTGTGGCTGCAAGGTAGAAGCTGAAAGGGTAGACCAGTTGGCTTTCAGTGGTGAGGTCAGATTTCACTTGCTTCTAAGCATTAGGTATTGGACTGGGGAGATGAAAGGGGGATCCATCTGTCCCGGCTGATGTTGGCAACTGGAGGAAACTGGAACATCAAGCCCCTCGATCCCTTGATGCCTGCAGCAAGCTTAGAATAACAGACAATCAGAGCCAGCAAGGGCCCTGAGAGATCTTACCCAGTGTCCTCACCAAATGAGGACAAAAGGACCTCATTCAAGTCTATAAAGTGTCAAGGTTAAACAATGACCTTCAAGATAGGATGAGAGTGGATCTACACCTCACTCTCTTGATAAACAACCTTAGAGAAAATGTTAACCTCTCTGAACCTCAATTTCCTGTACATTGGTGTGTTGGGGGATTGGGGGGGTGGGTAGGAGGAGAATTCAAATGCATTTGAAATAGAAGTGAGAATTAAACAGGTGATACTTGTAAGGAGCCTGTCAGGATTCCTGACACACAGTGAAGTTCTAGAATTGTGAAGAACTATTAAAGATAAAGCTCAAACAAGTAGCTTTTAAAGCCTTGTGATTTGAGGGTACCTTTGGTGACCACTGATGGGGACCATGCCTCAAATCTGAAAGCTCTGGGTGATGTGGTTTCCTGTTGCAAGGTGATCCTGGATATGCCCAGAAAAGCCCAGATTCCTACCTTGGTGAGTGGAAGGCACCAGAACTCCTCCATGGGGTCTCACTTCCTATTCTTCACTCAGATGCAGGAACTCTTCCCTTGGCCCATCCCCCTATGCTCTGGGTTCATCTGGCTCAGAAGCTTGATAGGATGCACATAAGCATTTGTTTCTGGGTCTGGGATGAGGTAGTCCTGATGTCACTGGCCCCCATATTATCCTTGAAGTTTTAATTTAGGAATGAATTCCTTGCTGCTCATGACCCAGGGTGAGATTTCCTCTCAACCCCAATGGCCTTTCACATTCCCTTGGCCTTTGTCCACTTCCTGCACCTCTGCCTGGGAGCAAGGTCATTGAAGGTCAGAGTCTTTGGGGGTCCATAGAGAATAAGGCTGGCCCAGCTGCCAGTACATCCCTGGGCATCTCAGCCTGCTTCTGCCCATCTTTCTCCCCTAACCTGACCCTTGGACGCTGGGGCTACAGGCCTATCCAATGGGACTAACCCCTGCCCTAAGTTGGCATTAACTTCCAGGCCACCAATTCATGTGACCTTGGACAGGTTGTTTCCACTCTCTAAGCCCTATTTCTGACATAGTCTCTGAGACCCCTGCTCATGCTCATGCCCTGGGATTCAGAATCCCTGACAGGCAAGACTGTTAGAATAAGAGGTGACAGGGTTGGCAAAGCAGCACCTTGCAAGGTGATGGGGCTCCCAGTCTCTGGGCAGTGACTTAGTGCCTTGAAGGAGAATCGGGGTATTGTGTCATCAGGGAGACATTTCTTCTTTCCCAGAAAGGTAAGCAATGTCTGCCAGGACTCAGGACCAGAAGCCAAGTGGGAAATAATGCCCAGGATGCTGACTCTGAAAGGCCCCAAGGGAGTGGCACCCCAGCTCGTTGGGCTCGGGCCATAGGCCATACCAGCAGCTTTTCCCACCCTCTTGTGTCAGGGAGACAGGAAGGTGGCCTCCCTTGGTGGTGTGCCAACTCCCAGGATGGCAAATATCTCAAAGAGCTACTAGGCTCCCGGCCTCTTCTAGATGCCGACTCTGGCCTTTTCTGCTGACCTTGGCAAGGTCATTTCTTTAAGCACCTGTTTGTTATCCAAGTCTGTTAGCAGACCTCTGAGGCATAGGCTGAAAGCTGGGGACCAGAATTCTATAACAAAGACCTACACAGCTGGGGGCTCTAGGTGGAGGGTGCTGCACGCTCCAGAGCCCTGCCTCACCTTCTCCTGCCCAGACCTTCTCTGGTTCATTTATAATCTGCATTTTTGTTGGGGAAAGGACTTAGGGGCCAAGAAAAGTCTGAACTGCTGCTGGTGACTGTAGCTTCTCACAGCACCAGGAGGCAACCAACCCACAGTCTCAACAAGCTCATGTCAGTGACAGTCAGCATCTAAGACTCCTGGTCATGATGATGGTGGTGAAGGTCAAGAGGAGGAGGAGGGAGTCCCGCATGGCCAGGACTGTTAGATAGATCACTTTTATTCATGTATCACCACATCTTACAGAGAGGCTAAGCCACTTGTCCAAAGTCACATGGCTAATAGGATAGGAATCAAATTCAGGCCACTTTACTGCAGTCTGTGCTCTTGGTGACTGCTCTATAGACCACCCCTGCCACCTGGGAGTTGGTTCCTAATGGTATACCCAGTGCTCAGGGTCTTTTGTTTCAGTGGAACCTGAAGGCTTCTATGGGCCCGAGGGAGTATTTGAAGTCCCAGGCAAGTATCTGATTGGCCCTCTGTCCAGAGGGCAGCAGGGAGGTGGCCTCCCCTCTCTGACAGGCCTGACCACCTGTATGCTTAGCTAGGCCACCTAATGCAGGATGGTGAGAGGACATCTGAGAAGACCCTTGGCCACTTCTGCAGGGCCAGGGGCTGAGTCTGCTTACGATGCACTCAGGGAAATCCAGGGATGTGGCCTCTGGGCTTCTCCAGGGCCTCCGGTTGCCAAATTTGGGGTACAGGAAGCAGGTTATGCCATTGTGTGGGATCTGTAACCCTCCTCCTGTGCTGTGAATGTGCCCAGTTCTGCTACGCCTGGTGCTGGGGGAGGGGGAAGCCAGGCCAAGCCTTCTAGAAGCCAAGAAATCACCTATACCAAACTTTTTGTTTTACATCCCAGTGAGCCAAGACTCAGAGGGGCTAAGCGACCTCTCCAGTGTCACACAGCACACTGGAGACAGGCAGAACCAGAGCACAGCTTCCCCAAAGGCCTAAAGCTTCAAGTCCCCAGTCCTTACCCTCTTCTGCCTCATCCAGGCCCATGACCTTGGGCTCCCCTGTGGGTGTCGGGCCTTCCGTCTGTCAGCAGGAACTCAAGGGTCATTGTCGCCAGATAATAATAGCCAGGATCTCAGGGACCCTGGACAAGGTGCCAGAGACGAGCTGTCAGTGACGCTTGTGGCTTTGGACAAGGTCCCAGAGTGACGCAGTGACACAATCCAGGCTACAGACAGACCCGTCTCATCCTCATGGCCCCAGTTTGCGTGGCTTTTCACATGTGAAGAGCAGCCATTCACGTCTACGCGCATGCGTGTATGAGTGGGTTTGAACACTACTATTTACATAAGGATGTCTTTATGTGACAGTGACAGGGCTCAAGGGGAAGCCATGAGGCTTAATTAAACCTGGACAGGGCACTTGGGCTTCTTGTGCCTCAGTTTCTATATCTGTCCAGTGGTGTGTGCTGCATCAGGCTCTCTCAGCAGCACTTTGAACAGTGAGGGCCACCCTGGTGTGGCTCGGGATCTGGAGCCGGGAGTAAGCTGTGACTGCTCCTGGGTCCTTGTACACCCACACAGTTGGAACGGTACACTGAGGTCCCTGTAGACAGGAGAGCTGAGGATTGGTGCACAGTAAGGTGCTTGTGTGGTAAGAGAGCTTGTCTGTGAATGAACGACTGTGTACATGACACAGAGGTATGGATCAGTCACCATCCACTGGTGAGATGGGATGGGTCTTGATGTCCTGCACCATCCAGGGACTCAGGGGCTATGTTCAGAGCTGGAGGAGTCCCTTTGCTGGCTATGCACTGGATAGGAGGCTTCACCCCTCAGTTCCTGCTCTGTGACAAGGGGCAAAGGCATAAGCTACTCCTGCTGCACTGTGGGAGCGCTGTAAATTACTCATGTAAAGCGTTTAAGCACCTGTGTCCTTCATCCATGTTCTGCCAGCAGTGGCTTCCCCTATCCAGTATCTCACTCCAAACTCAGAAACAGCCTGTTCCTCATTGTGAGGTCTTAGGCAGGCTGGCAGATCTGGAAGGAGGGGCTGAAACAAGGGAGGAACAGCAGATTCCCTGCACAGACACAGGGCTCACTGGCTGCATAGCAGCATGGGGAAATAGATGGGGCAGCTCACAAGTGCTTCGGGCATCAACAGACCACAAGCTGAGGGGATCACAGGGGGAGGTTCTCTTCAGCAACCATATCCTGCTCTTGGGTTGGATGAAGCAGCTTAATGTCTTGGTCACAGGAGGTCCTCCCTGTGGGACCCTGGAACAGAGGCCATGGGGACCATGCTCCCACATGGCTCAGAGCATAAAGAGGAGCCTGCCCACCATGGGGTTACGAGGACAACACAACACCTGAGCCACTGGGGTCACTTCCATAGGACATGTCAGAATGAGGCCCAGGGCAGGTCTCTTCCATTTGCCCATGAGTGGATAGAGGGCTTGCCTTACCTAGGGACAGTGGTCCCACAGTCCTTACCACCTGCCCGGAGCACAGTTTTGGTCCCTGCCTGTGTGTGACCACCAGGGTCACACCAGAATTCACAGAGTGGCAGGCAAGAGTGGCCTTGGCCTCTGGTGGACCCCCTTCCATCACCATTAGAAAATGGATGTAAGGGGTGCTAGGGTTCGTGCAGGTAGGGAGGGGCCTTAAGGCGGCCACAACTGGTCAGAAGGTCTAGAACTGGAACTTGTGGCTCGAGGTGGGAAGCAGCAGCAGTGCTCCCGTCAGCAATTGAGGCTGCCTTCTGAGTCATCCAGATGGCCATCTGGCTTCTCTGCACACCGGTCCTGAGGTCCTGCCGGGGATATCCCGTTACAGAGCTCATTCTCCGTCTGTGAAATGGTGACAATGTGAATGATGATGAAGCGAGGTGTGAGCCCAGCACGGAGCCTGAAACATGCATACTCGGTGTCAATACACCCCACTGTCCCCTCTCCAGATAACAGAAGATGAGGTGAGGGCAGGCATGGCACACATAGAGATACCATGTCTGTCCTGCTCCCCTCAGCAACTGGGGGGAGAGTGGTGGTGTGGATGATAACAGAATACTAGCAAGCATTTATCCTATGTGCTGTATGCTGGCCACCCAACGGGCTGTCTCATTTGATCCCTTAAGTAGGACCACGCCATCCCCATTCCTGGGGGACACTGAGGCACAGAGAGCTGTGGTGAACTGCCCTAGGCCACACAGCTGGGAAGGGACACATCTGGGGTCCGAGGGCCTCCAGACCTCAGGAGTCTCACTCTGGCCCTCTTTGTCCCCTAGGTTGTTTAAAAATCACCCCGAGACCTTGGAGAAGTTTGACAAGTTCAAGAACCTGAAGTCGGAGGATGAGATGAAGGGCTCGGAGGACCTGAAGAAGCATGGCAACACTGTGCTCACGGCCCTGGGGGGCATCCTGAAGAAGAAAGGGCAGCACGCTGCAGAGATCCAGCCCCTGGCCCAGTCACATGCCACCAAGCACAAGATCCCCATCAAGTACCTGGAGGTAGGGGTAGCCGCAGCAGAGTGGGAATGTCTCCAGAGGCAGAGATCCAGGGGTTGAGTCCCAGCTAAGCCATCTCTGTGGGTGGCCTGGTCCCTCCCTGCTGTGTCTAGTGTCTCCTCTGTGACCTGCTCCTGCCCTGTTCCCCTAACAGATCACATTCGATTCAGAGTCTTGCTCACCATGCTGGGTGGGCACAGTTATTGGCACACAACTTGTCTTGTTTCCATGAGCAGTTACCATTGTTGTACCCATTAGACAGATGAAGAACCTGAGGCACAGGCAGGATTCTTACTCGGGATTCTGTCAGAAGGTGGTGGGTGCTACAGGCACCTTCTGTCTCTCCATTGTACAGCTGTCCTACTCTGTAATGGTCCAGATGCTCACAGTTGTGCTGTGGCCTGGAGAGTGAGACCAGGCTAGGCAATCCCTGTGGGGCCCTCTCACTTCCCAGTTGCAGCTGGAATCACAGGTAGGGCAGAGTAGACCTGGACATAGAACACTCCCCATTCTCTGAGGGCAGGGCTATTCCACAGACCAGGGTCCACTGTGCTTTTTATGCAGATTTACCTAGGGGCTGTTTGTGGAGCAGCCTTGTGTCCACTGGCTATGGAGTCCATGTCCCTCAGGGAATGCCTCCTTCTCCCAGATTTCCCCCACCCCATCTCTGCTGTGTCACTTGCACACTAAGGCCCAGTGAAAATGTATAAAGCAGCCACCACTGCACTGCCAGGCTGGCAGAGGCTCATCCACCATCCCCTAGGGCCCGCTTAGGCTCATTATCCACCTGCTACATGACCTCAACCTGACCATGTGGTTGTCTCCTCAGTAAAACGGTACAGCAGCCAGGGCTGTATGGGACCAAAGCCCGAGTCACTACTGAGAAGCCCTGTGATGGTTTCATCACAGGCTTTGGATTCTGAACAGTTCCATGACAGGTCCCATATCCATTCCTCCATTCCCTGCCCCGTGTCAGTAGGGCTCCTGATCTTACCCAGCCCCTCCTCCTTCCCATCAGTATCTGCGAGTACCTGTTCCTTGTGGTCCTAAAGCAATGACCATCCTCAGTCCCAAGTTCAGAGATGAAGTGCACACAGACGAGAATGCCTCCTTCTCCCAGATTTCCCGATGGATCACAGACCCCAGAACAAGGTTTCTTGTCTGATACCTCTGAGCCCTCAGGGGCTGGTTGCTGCCATGCGTCTTGAGGCACACAGGCGGCAAGAGTGGGGTTCCAGAGAAACCCCCTGAGTTCAAGTGCCCCTTCCTGGCTACATGACTTCAGCACACAGTTACGCTGTGCCTCAGTTTCCCCACCTACAAAGCAGGGGCAGTGGTAGAGTCTATCTCCCAGTAGTCATGAGGTTTAAAGGAGTTGAGCTGGAGTGACCACTCAGAGTGGCACCTGAGGCATAATAGTTCCCAATAAACAGCCTGGGAATAAAGAGGATGGCAGAGGGTGGACACCCTCCAGCTCATGACTCACCCAGTCCTATGACCCTCTTTGCAGTTCATCTCGGAAGCCATCATCCAGGTCCTGCAGAGCAAGCACCCCGGAGACTTTGGTGCAGATGCCCAGGGCGCCATGAGCAAGGCCCTGGAGCTGTTCAGGAATGACATTGCTGCCAAGTACAAGGAGCTGGGCTTCCAGGGCTAGGCTTGCCACACGGCCAGCACCAGCCCACCAAGCTGGGCCCAACATCGTCGTGTAGCTAGTAGAGTGTGCAGTGTCTTAGGTTAGCAGAGGGACAGAAGAGAGGAGCGTAGGGTGGCATCCAGCATCCACACACCTGAGGACAGGGCTCCAGGTGGCGTCACCATGGGACCCAGAGGTGCAAAGTGGTCTCTGCTTCCATTGCTCTATTGAGTCGTCCTCAGGTCTCCTGTCACTTAAGTCCCGACCCACTTCCTCCTGGTTTCCAGGAAGACCCCTTCCTCCACTATTACCTTTGACCACAAATCCAAGTCACTGACTACCAGACCCAGACCTTTGAATGCGGTAGAGGGTGGCATAGCATGAGTGGCTGTCAGAGGGAGGCCACTGGGCATCTGGAAGTCACCTGCCACTCGGGTACCCACTGACTCACCTGGTTTCAATAAAAGACCCTGTGACTCCTCATGTCTCATGTCTGCCTGGCATTTTTTCATCCCTTCCAGCAAATACCCAAGAGCATCCAGGAGAAAATGGGGAAGATGCATTCTGGGGTTGCAACAAACAAGAGGGAGGAAGAGAGGCACCTTCCTGTGGCCCCACTCAGTGGCAGGCACATGCTGGGCTGAGCACAGGGCCTGGGAAGGAAGGCCCCCTGCCTGGGCCCCGGGGCAGTGTCATGACTGGTGGGCACATGGGCGGGCCAGCCGACCTTGGCAATATGAGGATTGGGGCCAGGTGCCCAGGTCTGTGGGAACTGCAGGAGACAGGGAAGGGATGATTACTGTGGTTCCAACAGCTGAAGCAACTTGAGAAGATCACCCTGACAGGAAGTGGCAGAGCTGAGATCCAAAGTGCAGCCTAGAAAAAGGCAACAGGGACTCTGGACCAGGGACAGAGTCGGTGGCCAACAGTGGCAGGCACTGACCTTCTGGCCATGCAAAGGACAGACAACTAAGGGATAAACACAGGGCAGGAGAAGAAAGCCATGCCTCCTGGTGGAGCATGACTAGGGCACAGCCAGGCCCTCCTGGGGCTGTTACAGTCAGAACCTAAGCAGCCAAGCTCAGCCACTGGTCCTCGACAGGCCAGTTAAACAGACAAGTTACAGTGAAAAGCAGGAGGGGAATTCAATGTAGCCACATTGGGAAGAGGAACAGAGAGGTCCAGTGACCACCGCAAGTCCATCTCTGAGGTCCAAACACGAGGTTAGCTCAGCAGTCCTGGTTAAGGTGTCAAGGTGGTCTGATGAGTTGTCAGAACAGTGTGAAATCTTTTCCTGGGAAACGGGCTCCTCCTCTGGCTGGCATCAAACTTCAGTTCTTTGTGGGGGAAACATATTGTTGTAATAGTCTGATAGTCAAAGGGAGGAATACAAGTGTGTCTTTAAAACATCTTCCTTCCAGCCAGTGAGATGGCTCAGTTGGGAACAGCACTTGCCAAGCAAGCCTGGTGACCTGAGTTTAACGAGAGGTGGAAGGAGAGAAACAAATCCAGAAAGCTGTCCCCACTAGCCTCCACATGCACACCATGGATGCACGTGCCCCCTACCACCACGGTGCCTACATACACCACCACCAATAATAATAATAATAATTGCCAGAACAAGGTTGGAATTGCACCCTTACCTGATAGCAATTCTACTATCAGACAACTGAATCCTTCCAGGGCTGAACAAGCCAGTTCTCTGCCCGCAAGCCATCTATCCACATTCCTGTCAGGGACACTCCTGGCTTCTGATCATTAAATGCTGGCGGTAGAGGAATGCCAGGTATTTGTCATTCGCCCTGCATCCATCCAGCAAATCATGTCAAGCAAATAGGTAAAAATAGAATTCAGCTTAGAGCTGGGCTGCACACACTTAGGGCTGGTTGCTTTGTCAGTCAGTTGGCTGAGTGTCTGTTCTGTGTCCTCATGGCACCAGGGGTGGATACTTCATTGCAGTTTATTTGAGGTTTCTCTTCGGTCCCAGACAGGCTTTGGCAAATTCCATACATCAAGTTGTGCTGTGCGAATGTGAAGGAGGTGGAGTGATTGTAGCTGCCATCTGTCCCAGCCTTGGGGCCGCTGCTCCCCTAGCTTCTCAGGAGAGTCCCTCCTGGGAGCTGAGGCACAGATTCCCTGTGTACTCAGACCCCACAGCCGCATCTGAATGTTTGCTACATCCTCCAGGCCCCAGCCAGGCCGAGGCAGGTTTGCCCCATATACGCACACCACACCAGTGGAGCTTCAAAGATCTGGGTCTGGGCTCCAGTTGCTGAGCTGTGGTGGGTTCAGAGGGAGAACGCCAGCCCCTAGCACATCCCACAAACTCAGACCATCAGCTGGGAACATGTTGTATGTGTGCACAGATGTGAGCATGCCTTGTGAATTGTGGGCATTTTAAAAGTTAAATGCGGGGCTAGAGAGATGGCTCAGTGGTTAAAAGCACTGGCTGCTCTTGCAAAGAACCTGGTTTCAGTTCTCATATGGTGGCTAACAACCATCTGTAGCTCTAGTTCCAGGGAAATCCAACGTCCTCTTCCGGCCTCCTCAGGCAGTGCACTATATGGGTGCACTTACATACATGTAGGCATAACACTCATGCACATAAAATAAAACTAAATAATTTTTTTAAAAAAGTTAAATGCTTCAGGACACTCCAGTGGGACCCTGGTTCTGACTCTGATTCCTGAAGCAGAGCTCTGTGTCTCTGTGTGTGTGTGTGCACGGGAGTGCTCATGCATCCTCATATAACACGCTCCCTGGTGTGTGGGTATCTGTCAGGCCCCTTTACTCTCATCTGTGATCTCAGTTTCCTACTCATGGTACCTGTCTCCTTAGGAACCCACAGCAAAGCCCAGTGACCTCCTCACAGACTGTTAATATCCAGCTGTCACCACTCAGTCTAGACAGTGGCTGTCTCGGGGGAGCTGGGTGGGAGTTGGAGAGGACACAAAGAAACCCAGGTTGGGGCCATCTGGCCCAGTCTGGTGATAAACCGAGAGGAGCTGATAAAGTGACAATGACTTACCAAAGCACTTGACTCACAAAACCTGCACTGAGCAGGCCTGGGGGTCAGTGACCTCGGCCATGACACGGTGGCCCCAAGCTGCACCCATTCACGCTCACTGGCTGTCTTACTGGTGATTTAAACTACAGCTTATGGCTCTGGCTCAGTGGTTAAGAGCACTGGTTGCACTTGCAGAGGACACGGGTTTGGTTCTCAGTATCCACATGGTGGCTAATAGCCATCCATAACTACAGTTCCAGGGAATCCTACACCATCTTCTGGCTTCCACAGGTATTACACGACATGGTGCACTTACATACATGCAGGCAAAAGACTCACACACATAAAATAAAAATAAATCAAAAAAATTTAAACTACAGCTTATATTTTATATTTCATTGTTTTTCTCTCTTCCCATTCTATGCTTCCAGATTTTATACATATATACATATTTTTTAAGAAATAAAATTGTGCTGGGCGTGGTGGCACATGCCTGTAGTCCCAGCACTTGGGAAGCAGAGGCAGGCGGATCTCTGTGAGTTCAAGGCCAGCCTGGTCTACATAGTGAGTTCCAGGACAGCTGGGGCTACAGGGAGACCCTGCTTCAAAAAGACCAAAAAAAAAAAAAAAGAAAGAAAATCTATTGGGGGCTGGAGAGATGGCTTAGCAGTTAAGAGCATTGGCTGTTTTTCCAGAGGACCTGAGTTCGAATCCCAGCACCCACATGGCAGCTAACAACCGTCCGTGACTCCAGTTCCAGAGCCGACGCCCTCTTCTGTCCTCCATGGGCACTGCATGACAAGGGTGCACTTACATACATGTAGGCATTACACACATACACATAAAATGAAATGAAATGAAATAAAGAAATAAAATCTGTCTATTGAGTACACTATGAGGGGCAGCAGGCTGGGCAGTAACAAGAACCTTGCATCCAGTATGCATGAGAGGTGTATCTTAAAACAACCCATGACACCTTCACCTTCACTTAATCCACATCGCACTAGCCACTGTTGTCTGGCCACAGCTCACCCACAAATATAAAGCTTCTTCCTACGTTGGCATTTTGCAGAGACACAAAGCAAGACACCTGCCCTACATTAACCCCTTTGCAAGCAGAGTCACAGGCTCTGAGAGTTCTAGAGCTCCTCACCTGTGGGTGCCTTGGGGAAGGGGGGTGGAAGGGCCACCATCCCCACACAGCTGGAGAGCAGAGGGACTGTCAACCTGGTGAGTCATGATGTGGGGTTTCAGCACTGGGGATTGGAGGGCTTGCCGATAAACATGGAAGAGGACGCGGCACAAAGGAAGGAGGAGGTGGGACATTCGGGTAAGATCTGACCTGATGGAACTTCCGGTCAGTGAATACACAGAGGCTGAGCACCATAGTCCATTAGAAATAAGCCAACTGAGTTAATCTGCTGGACAAAGTCAGACCAAGGGCCTGACTGGTCAATGGGAAGAGGAGGGCCTGTCAGATTTTTCTGGGAGTGTTTTGTGGTGGTGATGGGGGAGGGGGAGTCAGATATGAGAAGGGTCTGGCATACTCAAAATGGTTCCCATATTCCAACATGTTGATTCTTTCAACAGCCCCATGAGGGAAGCGTGACCATCATTACCATCATCACCACCATCACCATCACCATCATGACCTTGGCCAGGGTATGGTACCCAACTTTAGGGTTCTTCTCTGTTCTTTTTGTAGCTGTGATAAACACCAAGACGAAAAGCAACTTGAGGAGGAGAGAATTTATTTGGCTTACACAATATAGTTCATCATGGAGGGAGGCCAAGGGAAGTCAAGGCAGGAACTCGAGACAGGAACTGAAGCAGAGACCGTAGAGGAACGTACTTGCTGGCTTTCTCAGCTACCTTTGTGATACAGCCCAGGCCCACCTGCCCACGCATGGCACCACCCACAGTGTGCTGGGCCTTCCTACATCAATTAGTAATTAAGAAAATGACTCACAGACATGGCTAAGGCCAATCCAATGGAGGAAATTCCTCAACTGAGGGTCCGTCTTCCCAGGCGTTTCTAGTTTGTGTCAAGTTGATAAAAACTAACCAGCACAGGGCTCAAATGCTAGTCTGGACGTTGCTGTTCAGGTGCACTTAACACTTAAATCAGGAGCCTCTGTATAAGGCAGACGACCTCCGTGAGGGTGGTGGGCCTCATCCAATCAACTGAAGGGCTTATGAGAAAAGGCCATGAGTGGAGAAAGGAATTCTGTGTCCAGTGACTCCAAGTGACTCTCACCTGGGCCTCCTACCTCCTACCAGCCCTGCAAACTTCACACATAGCAAAGCCAGGTCCTCACATTAAACCTCTCTCTCTGTATCCTTTTGATTTTGCTTCTCTAATGAACGCTGATAGATACAACCACCATTTCTAGTTCATGGATAACACTAACACAGACAGACTGTAAGAGCCCTACTCAAGTCTGCCCACCAGAAAAGAGCTTGGATTTGCACCCAG